ACCTTGCTCACATCTAGGGCACACATGTGAGGGTGTAAAGTGTCTTTCAAAACTGTTGTACCTATGATTTTGATGATTACAAAACACATTTGAGTGACTAATTGATTTATCTAAGTGTATAGTTAAATTACCAATATACTGCAAGGTAAGCAAAATAAGATTGCATTAAAAAGGGCTCAAAGGAAAAAATATGCAGAGAGCCGGCTGTAGATTTTGTTGAGCCCACTCTACAGGCCAGAAATTCAACTGCCGTTTTGGCGCACGTGGAAAATGGAAGCAGAGCCGGCTCCAACTTTGTAGCCGACTATGAGGGCGTATTTAATGCACAACGGTTGACTTATTTGAAGAATATTTAATGTATTTAAAGCCAGAGTTCCAAAGCCGGCTCAAAGTTTTGCAGCCGGCTCTCGAGGAAAACAAAATGTGCAAGAATCCCACAAAGCCGGCTGCAAAAATGGTGAGCCGACTGTAAGAGACGGCTCTCCTGACAATCCTGCAACTCGAGCTTCGCGTCCTGCAGGGCATTTAATGACCCCCAAAGGCTAGAAACGGCTATTTTCGAGCAAGGGGCTATAAATATGGTTGGTAACAGATCTGAAGAAGTTTAGAGAACATTGCATTGAATATCTTTACCTACCTACTTGAGCTTTAATTTCAGTTTTGATCTTTGAGTGATCATTGATTGTAATCCTCTTCTTGTTCTATTAATGAGTGATCTTGGGGGTGTGTTGATTCCTTCAAGAGTGATCTATTGAGAGGATTTGTGAGGTTTACATTGTAAAGGGGTGAGGTTTGAGAGAAACACTCATCTTGTTGTAAAAGGATTGAATGGCTCCTTTAAGCCACCCTTGTCTTTCTTAGTGAAGAGTGTGGAGGAAATCCTTGGTGAGTGAAGCCAAGGTAGAAGACTAGGCTCCAAGTGGTTGGACCGAACCTCTATAAATTCATTGTGCAAGCTCTTCTTCTCTACTCTCTTTAACTTGGGTTTTGTGGTTGGAAAAGGGGAGAATTTTTGGAACTCCAATTCACCCCCCTCTTAGAGTACATTGAGTCAACAATTGGTATCAGAGCAAGGGCTCCAATTTGAAGGTTTAACCACCTAGGAGTTGATCGGGAATGGCTCAATTTCTATCTTCTCAACCACTTGAAGGCTTGTCTACCACTAAGCCTCCTTTCTTTAATGGTACTAATTATAATTATTGGAAGAATAGGATGAAGGTCTTCATACTTGCAAATGTGCCCAAGGCATGGGTTGTGACTATGAAAGGTCCATATGTACCTATGAAAATTGTTGGAGAAAGAGAGGTCCCAAAGGAAGAGATTGATTGGAATGATGAAGACTTGGAAAAGATCATAATCAACAACAAAGCAATTAGTATGCTTCAATGTGCTCTCAATCCAACGGAATATCATAGAGTCTCCGGGTGTGATACGGCTAAGGAGATGTGGGACATGTTAGAAGTCACACATAAAGGAACAAGCCAAGTAAAGGAGTCAAAAATCAATAAACTCATTTACATGTATGAGCTTTTCAAGATGAAACCGGAGGAGAGCATTCAAGATATGTATACAAGATTGAATGATATAGTCACCAATCTCAAGGCTCTTGGTAAAGTCTATCCTCCTCAAGAAGTGGTGAGAAAGGTTCTTAGAAGCTTGCCTAAGAGTTGGAAAGCCAAGAAGACGGCAATTGAAGAATCTAAGGATCTCAACACTCTCAAGCTTGAAGATCTCATTGGTAAATTGATGACATATGAGATAGAAGTTCAAGGTGATGGTAGAGTTGAAATAGTTGAGAAGAAGAAGAAGGATGTTGCATTCAAAGTTAGCAACCAAAAGGAAAAGAGTGAAGATGATGCTAGTGATGGTGAAAACTTCTCCTCCTTAATCTCTAGAGAAGTGAGGAGATTTATGAAGAAGAACATCAAGAGCAAGCTTGCAAGAAAAGATGAAGGAGAATCTACCCAAAAGAGTGTGAAATGCTATGAATGCAACAAGATGGGGCACTACAGAAATGAATGCCCCAAATTGAAGAAAGGTGAGAAGAAAGACAAGAAAAGCATGAAGAAGAAAGCATTTGCTGCCACTTGGCCACTTAGAGTGATGATGAGACTAGCTCAACGGAAAGTGAAAGCTCCTTGGAGAAAGGTGTTGCAAATCTTTGCTTCATGGCTCAAGAGGATAGAAACAATGATGAGGAGGTAAACACTAACTTTTCTAGTTCAATTAATGAAAGTTCCTTTGAGTATTCTTATGATGATTTATGCAAAGTTCTCGATTGCTCTATGAATGATATTAAGAGACTAGGGAATGGCAATCTTACTCTTACTAAAACTATTTCATTACTTAAAAATGAGATTGAATCTCTTTCAAAACAAAATAAAGTTTTAGTTAAAGAAAATGCTTCTTTAAATGGTGAGATTGCTTCTTTGAAGAATGAGAAAGTTAATGATGCTTTGGAAAAGGAAAATGAGAATTTAAGGAAGGAAAATGAGGATGCAAGGAAGGAAACTGAGGATTTAAAGAAGAAAAATGAGGATTTAAAGAGAAAAACTTGTGATTTTGAAAATGTGATTTCCAAATTTACTTTGAGTAAAGAAAAATTTGATTCTATCTTAAAATCTCAAAGAAATGTTTATGACAAAGGGGGCATTGGATTTGATTATTCTAAAAAGCAAAAGACTTTTAAGACTACCTTTGTAAGAGCAAGTCAATCCTATCATCCTAATGTTACTTGCTATTGTTGTGGTGCAAATGGACACTTTGCTTATGCTTGTCCTTTAAAAAGATTAATAGCTCAAGGTAAAGTGAAACAAATTTGGGTTCCAAAAGGAACCATAAAAACTAACCCCCAAGGACCCAAACAAATTTGGGTACCTAAGATCAAAATTTGATTTTTGTTGTGTAGGTGTGCCTTGTGAACAAAATGAAGAACAAATGGTATCTAGATGGTGGATGCTCACGGCACATGACGGGTGATCCTTCGCAATTCTCATCACTCATGCCCTTGGATGGTGGAACCGTGACCTTTGGTGACAATGGGAAAGGAATTGTGAAAGGAATTGGTAAAATTGGTAACAAATATATTTCTTTTGATGATGTTTGGTATGTGGATGGATTGAAGCATAACTTACTTAGTATTAGTCAATTATGTGATGGCATGTAAATAATACTCTCAGCATAACTTGCAATGAGATTTGAAAAATACAACATTAAACATGCTAGCATGAGTATTATCTCTAAGTTATTAAAGCATGATCTTGTTGATGACATGTAAATATTGATAGTGTATGTGATGCATGCATGAAGGGTAAGCAAACTAGAGTTTCCTTTAAGACTAAGAAGTGCATCTCTAGAAATAGACCTCTTGAGTTACTTCATATGGATTTGTTTGGACCTATGCGCACTCTAAGCATTGGAGGAAAATCATATGTGCTTGTTGTAGTTGATGACTATTCTAGATTTACATGGGTTGCTTTTCTTGCACATAAAAATGATGCACTTGATGCTTTCAAATGTCTTTATAATGTTGACTCAATGCACTCCAAGAGGGGGGGTGAATTGGAGTTGGAGAATTTTCACCTCTTTGCAACCACCAAACAAAAATTAAAAAGAGAGTGGAGAAGAAGAGCTTGCACAATGATTTTATAGAGGTTCGGTCCAACCACTTGGAGCCTAGTCCTCTACCTTAGCTTCACTTACCAAGGATTTCCTCCACACTCTCCACTAACAAAAACAATGGTGGCTTAAAGGAGCCATTCAATCCTTTACAAGAAGAAGGGTGTTTCTCTCAAATCTCACCCCTTTACATTTAAACCCCAAAGATCCTCTCTACAAATCACTCTTGAAGGAATCAACACACCCTCAAGATCACTCACTAATAGTACAAGAAGAGGATTACAAACAAAGATCTCTCAAAAATCAAAATCTCTAGTTAAAACTCATGTAGGTAGGTAAAGATATTGAATACAATGCTCTCTAAACTTCTTCAAATCTGTTACCAACCATATTTATAGCCCCTTACTCGAAAATAGCCGTTTCTAGCCGTTGGGGGTCATTTAATGCTATGCAGGTCGCTTAATTCGAGTTGCAGAATTGTCAGTAGAGCCGATTTACACTTATAGAGCCGGCTTTGTACAGCCGGCTCACCATTTCTGCAACCGGCTCTGCGGGTTTCTTGCATTCTGTTTTCTCCGTAGAGCCAACTCAAAAATTCTGCAGCCCACTTTGCGAGATTTCTGCACATTCTGTTTTCTTCCACAGCCGACTGCAAAGCCTAGAGCCGGCTTTGGGATTCCAACTTTAAACACATTAAATAATCTTCAAATAACTCGACCGTTGTGCATTAAATACACCCTCACAGCTAGATACAAAGTTGGAGTCGGCTTTGTGTCTTTGCTCCACGCGCGCCAAACAATGATCCTCTAAATCTTGGCAAAATACCCAAATCCACCCCCAAAGTATAATGACAAGGACGGATCCACCCTCGAACAAAAAACAGGGATAAATCCACCCACAAAGTTTTCGACTTAGACAAATCACCCCAAATTTAACGTGTGATGTCATTTGACATAAGCAATTCATTAATTCGTTAACGGATTGCTGACGTCAGATGATGTCAAATTAACAGATTGCTGATGTCAAATGACGTCACATGTTAAATTTAAAGTGATTTGTCCAAGTCGAAAACTTTGTGGGTGGATTTGTCTCCATTTTTTGTTCAAGGGTGGATCCGTCCCTGCCACTATACTTTGGGGGTGGATTTGGGTATTATGCCCTAAATCTTTACCTGTAGAGCCGGCTGCAGCTTCTAGAGCCGGCTGCACATTTTCAAGCCTTTTGGTCTATTTTTAGTGCAGTCCAAGTTTACTTATTTTGCAATCTTTTGAAATTTTAACTACACACTTAAATGAACCAATTAATCACTCAAATGTGTATTGTAATCATCAAAATCATAGGTACAACATATAAAAAGCTTCAAAATGAGAAAAGTTTAACTATTGTTTCTATTAGAAATGATCATGGGGGAGAATTTGAAAACAATGATTTTGAAGATTTTTGCATTGAACATGGTATTGATCATCATTTTTCAGCCCCTAGAACTCCTCAACAAAATGGGGTGGTTGAACGAAAAAATCATACTATTGAGGAAATGGCAAGGACTATGATTTGTGAGAATGATTTGCCAAAATCCTTTTGGGCCAAAGCCGTTGCAACCTCTTGTTATTTGTTGAATAGAGTTATGGTGAGGCCTATTCTTAATAAAACCCCCTATGAAATTTACAAAGGAAGAAAACCTAAGATTTCCTACTCTAGAGCTTTTGGTTATAAATGCTTTGTCTTGAAAAATGGAAAGGACTCTCTTGGAAAATTTGATTCTAAAAGTGATGAAGGCATCTTTGTTGGATACCCTACTTCTAGTAAAGCTTACTGTGTGTATAATAAACGTACTAAAGTTGTTGAAGAATCTATTCATGTGGTATTTGATGAGACTAACCCTATTTGCTCTAGAAAGTCTTGTAATGATGATGATGTAGATGCCATTGGAAAACAAATAAAAGATATAAATCTCAAGGAGGATAACACCAAGGAAGCTCAAGATGAGAAAAATGAGGAGGACAAACATGAAGAAGTGCAACAAACACATGAGCTAAGAGAACCAACTTTCCCAAGAGAAAGATCCTATGTCAGAGGTAATGAAATTCTTGGGGATCCATCAAAAGGGGTAATTACTAGATCTCATGCTCATAATACTTGTGCTTTCATTGCCTTTATATCTCAAATTGAACCAAATAATCTTGATGATAGTTTAAATTATCCTAATTGGGTGATGGCTATGCAAGAAGAATTAGCTCAATTTGAAAGAAATAAGGTTTGGAATCTTGTTTCTAGACCTAAAGACCATCCCATCATAGGAACTAAATGGGTTTTTAGAAATAAGTTAGATGAGAATGGAATTGTGGTTAGAAACAAGGCAAGACTAGTTGCTAAAGGCTATTGTCAAGAGGAAGGAATTGATTTTGATGAGACTTTTGCCCTAGTAGCTAGACTTGAAGCAATTAGAATGTTATTGGCTTTTGCATGCTTTAAAGGTTTTACACTTTATCAAATGGATGTTAAAAGTGCTTTTCTAAATGGTTATATTCAAGAAGAGGTTTATGTTGAGCAACCTCCCAGTTTTGAAGATCCATCTTATCCAAACCATGTTTATAAACTTTCAAAGGCTTTATATGGCTTAAAACAAGCTCTTAGAGCTTGGTATGAAAGATTAAGTAGTTTTTTGCTTGCAAATGGTTTTTCTAGAGGAAGAGTTGATACCACCTTGTTTGTGAAAAACAAAGGCCAAGATATACTAATTGTCCAAATCTATGTTGATGATATTGTGTTTGGTGCTACTAATGATTTTCTTTGTCAAGAGTTTTCCAAAGCTATGCAAGGTGAATTTGAAATGAGCATGATGGGTGAGCTCAACTTCTTCTTGGGACTTCAAATCAAACAATCCAAAGAACAGATGGCTACGTTCATGCTCAATGACAGCCAAGAAAAGCAAGTGTGGGCAGCTAAATTGGCTGGCTCTGGTATTGTTTCTTTTGCAGCTATGCTCAACACTGGGAACTTTGTGCTGGCAAGCCAGGACTCCACCAGTTTGTGGAAAAGTTTTGATGAGCCGACTGACACAATACTACCCACACAAATATTAAGCATAGGCAGCAACAGCCTTGTTGCTC